AAAAAAAAAAAAAAAAGAAAGAAACCAGATAACTCTGAGCCATGAGGCATTGCATTGGCCTCTCAGAAGTCTGAATAAATAAGTATGGGGATTTCCCTTATTTTGAAGGCATTAATGACTCATTTCTCTAGGATATTGAAGTGAGTTCTCCAGTGGAAGACAACTGGAAAATGAGTGTCCTTGTCTACATATATAAGATCTTAATAAAAGTAATTATAAAATTGACCTTGGTGGGGAGACACTGAAACAGGATTACATAGTCCGAGTAAAGTCCTTACAATAGAGAAAAAAGTATGTACAAAGACACAAGAAAGACACAGAGGTAAGAAAAGGACTATTGACTGGAGTCGGGAATGCAGGAGCGTGTGTGTGTGTGTGTGCGCGCGCATGTGTGTGTGAGTGTTTATAAACCTAGATAAGTTTAGATGAGCCTGGAGAATTAACAAGCCATGCTTGTATTTTACAAAAATGCACTCCAGAAGAGACACGGGTTGGAAATTGTTCCAGAAAGAATAAGACATAATGGTGATATGAACCATGAACCTAAGTTTGTGATGATGAATTTGAAGAGAAATTCTAGGCCTTGCCTTAGAAAACAACATAAAAATCTTAGTTCTTCAGGAACACAATGCCCACAGACAAACTTCACCAGAAACAGAATTTGCACATAGGCAGATGTATATATCACTGCTCACTTAGATGAAATATATGCATATGCTTCCATTTACAGATGGCCTCTTTCATCACTGAAAGAAAAAGTGCACTTCAGATCTACACTACAAATATATCTAGATACAAATTTACCTCCACCAGACAATGTTACATGTTATTTTTGAAAGGTAAATAAGTTACTTGATTTATTATTTTAAACTTGTGAGTGTATTTTTAATTGCTATTCATGAAATGAAAATTATTTGAACTTGAACAGATATGTAAGGATATTTGATGTTGCTTAGTAGCATTTCTCAAACAGATCCTATTTTGCACATGAGATTTGCTAGGGAGTTGAAGCTACCTCCTATTCCGTACCTGTTTATATGATTTGGTAATAGTCTTTTGTTGTGAAGGTTTATGAACATGGTGAAATACATACATTCTATTGAGAGATATGATAAAATGGCATAACTCAAGTTTCAACTATGATTTTGATAAGTAGTTTTCAAACTTGTTTTGGGGATTTTATGGAATCCCAAAGGGAAAGATAACAATTTTACTATTAAAAAGTGTTAATGTTATTTTGCCTATAGACTCTAATTATTGGTTAGCAAAATAATTGTTATAATTATTTCATTCAATTTTAATATAATAAGAGTTATATAATTCTTCTTTTACTCAGCATTTTTTTTTTCTTTTTTCTTTTTGAGACAGGGTCTTGCTCTGTCGCCCAGACTGGAGTGCAGTGGCAGGATTACAGTTTACTGCAGTCTCCACCTCCTGGGCTGAAGCCATCCTCCCACCTCAGCCCCCCCAGGTAGCTGGGACTACAAAGTGCATGCCACCACACCTGGCTAATTTTTGGATTTTTTATAGAGACTAGGTTTCACCATGTTTCCCAGGCTGGTCTTGAACTCCTGGGCTCAAGCAATCCACCCACCTGGGCCTCCCAAAGCGGGGAGAGTTACAAGCATGAGCAAATGTGCCTGACCCTATTTCTCTGTTAAAGAATAATTCTAATAATAATAATTTCTGGTTTATGTATTTTTACAAATAATTGACATGATGATGTAATATTCACAATGCTTCAACAATGTGAAAAAGTATATACGAATATTAATCACATAATTGATAAAATATGTGAAATAATGAAGCCAAAGCAGGTCATTAAGAAATATTTATAAACATTATGTATTGAAGTTACAGATGTTGCCAAAGTTGTACATCCACGGGGCCAGTCATCATAAATTCTGATTGATGTTTAAAATGAGAGCAAGAAATACCCAATTAAATTGAAAACCACCTAATCTTCTTCCGATGCTTCTGCGATTTCTTTGTACTTGTAAAATCGTATTGCACGTTGAATGGGAGTCTTAACAGAGTCATAAGTCCATCCCTTCCTGGCAAACAGTCTTTCAAGGATGCCAGGCATTTTGTAGCCCTTGCTTAGAATGAAATCCTTAAAGGCAATTGGTCCATAAAGTTCGTCAAGAACGTCAGGTTCATCAGGCTTTTCAAGCAAGAGCTTGGGGTCAATCAAAGGTTCATCACTTCTTAGCTTTTTCCACAACTTAGGCTTGAGGTACCATGCTCCATACTTCATCTTCACACGCTGTGCGGTATAAGAATTCGATGGCGTGTGGAGTTTCCTGCCCCAGTATTTTTCCTGTGAGAAAAATTTGTCCTCATCCTTTTCATCTAGCTCCATGCTGTACTTCAGCTCTGAGGAACACTCTTTTACCTTCTTAAGCTTTTGGTCGTAATAGGTTGCTCTGTACTTGGGGGTAAAGTCAAACAGATTCCTGATGGATTCTTCATCAGCTCCCAGGTCTGCAGCCCACTTGAAGAATTCACGGAGTTTTTCTGATGTGTATCTATATTGAAGAGAGTCAGAAACGCACTCTGTTGTGTTTGGTGTATCTTCGTGAAACAGTTCTTTTATGTAGGACGCTCGAATCTTGGGAGGCTCCGAGAACTGATGGGACACTGGAGCTTTGGGAGGCTCCGCGCGGAGACTGGACACCCGACGAGTCTTGGGAAGCTCCGGGTGGAGACTGGACACCCGATGAGTCTTGGGAGGCTCCGCGCGGAGACTGGACACTCGACGAGTCTTGGGAAGCTCCGGGTGGAGACTGGACACCCGATGAGTCTTGGGAGGCTCCGGGCGGAGACTGGACACCCTACGAGTCTTGGGAGGCTCTGGACGGAGACTGGACCTCCGACGAGTCTTGGGAGGATCCGAGCGGAGACTGGACGCCCGGCGAGTCTTGGGAGGCTGCGGGTGGAGACTGGACGCCCGACGTGTCTTGGTAGGTTCCGGGTGGAGATGGGACACCTGAGTCTCCGGAGGCTGCAAGCAGGGTTCCCCACAAGGGAATTTATCAGGCTCGGTGGGTTCCTCGGTTTTCTTCACCCGGGCCTCACAACGAGCCCATACGTCCTTCAGCGTCCTCCCAGAATCCAGCACTTTCAGTATGTATAGTAGGAGATTGGACACCCGACTAGTGTCGGGAGGTTCTGGGCGGAGATGGGACGCTCCAGTCTTGGGAGGCACTGACTGGAGATGAGACACTTCAGTCTTGGGAGGCTCCGGGCGGAGATGGGACCCTCCAGTCTCGGAAGGCTCCGAGTGGAGACTGGACCCCCGACGAGTCTTGGGAGGCGCTAGGCGGAGATGGGACACTCCAGTCTCGGAAGGGTCCGAGTGGAGACTGGACCCCCGACGAGTCTTGGGAGGCGCTAGGCGGAGATGGGACCCTCCAGTCTCGGAAGGGTCCGAGTGGAGACTGGACCCCCGACGAGTCTTGGGAGGCTCTAGGCGGAGATGGGACACTCCAGTCTCCAGAGGCTCTGGGCGGAGATGAGATACGCGAGTGTCGGGAGGCTCCGGGCAGAGGTGGGACACTCCAGTCTCTGGAGGCTCACGGCAGAGAATGGACACCCGACGAGTCTTGAGAGGCTCTTGGTAGAGATGGGACACTCCAGTCTCAGGAGGCTCTGGCCAGAGACTGGACTCCGGAGTCTTGGGAGGCTCCTGGCGGAGATGGGACACTCTAGTGTCGGAAGGCTTCAGGGGAAGACTGGACACCCTAGTCTTGGGAGGCTCTGGGCGGAGACTGGACAACGGAGTCTCGAAAGGCCGCGGGCAGAATTCCCCACAAGGGTATTTACCAGGCTCTGTGTGTTCGTTGGTTGTCTTCTCCCGGCCCTCACAACGAGCCCGTGCGTCTTCCAGCTTCCTCTCAGAATCCAGTTTCAGTAGCTGTCGTAGGAGACTGGACACCCGACGAGTGTTGGGATGTTCCGGGCCGAGATGGGACACTCCAGTCTCGGGAGGCTCTGGGCGGAGACTGGACACTGGAGTCTTGGGAGGCTCTGGGCGGGGATGGGACACTCCAGACTCGGGAGGCTCCGGGTGGAGACTGGACACCGGAGTCTTGGGAGGCTCCGGGCGGAGATGGGACACCGGAGTCTCGGGAGGCTTTGGGCAGAGTTCCCCACAGGGGTATTTACCAGGCTCTGTGGGTACCTCGGTTGTTTTCTCCCGGGCCTCACAACGAGCCCAAACATCCTCCAGCTTCCTCTCAGGATCCAGCAGTTTCAGCACCTGTAGTAGGAGATCTGGAGGCATATCTTCTCCCAGATTGGGGTACATGGCCAAGGGATGCTTGGCCGTCAGCTGGGCTTCCACTTCCTCTACGAACGTCTTCCGTGCTAGCTGGGCTGGAGAGAGCTTAGAAAATAGGGCCGCTTTCTTGAGCAACTTTTTCTGCCCGCTTTTGGGGTCAGTTTGGGGACCTCTGCGACAGATTTTGGGGAGTAAAAACTCGTCACGGCGACAAATGAGCGTATCTTCAGGAGACGGACAGCCGTAGCGGAAGTCGTCCATGCCCTCAGTCACGAATACCCAGTTCTGGGTGTCCATGGGCGGGGACCTCAGGCGTCTGTGCTTGCGCTTCGCGAAGCACTTGGAAGGCGGTTTGTCACAGTACCAGGGCTTGAAGTCCATGCCTGGGGACTTTGGCCGGTCCTGCGGCCTCTGGTCCCCCATGGTGGCCCTCGCTGGGGTGCCACCTCTCCAGTTTCCGCGGCTCCTGATCCCTGCCGCTCTAGTCGCTAGGAGACCGCCAGCCACGTGCAGCCCAGGTTCCTTCCTGGAGGCGGGGCAGCGCTGACGCCACCTGCGCAGCCTGGATTCTAACAGGTGTGTAGTGCAATCTCATTCTGGGTTTTATTTGTGTGTCCTAATGACTACTGGTATTGAACATCTCTATATTTGCTTATTTGCCATCCTTATCTCTCCTCGGTTGAAGTTTCTGTGGATTTTTTCCCCCGTTTTTAAATTGTGTTGCTGGATGTCATATTTAGTTTTGAGAATCCTTGCTGTGTTCTAGATGTAAACAGGTTATCAGATATATGATTTGCAAATTTTTCACTTCATCCTTGGCTTTTCCGTTTCATTGTCTTAACAGTATCAAAGAGAAGTTTTTTTTAATTTGATGAAGTCCAATGTATCAATTTGTTCTTTTCTGGATTGTGCTTCTTTTGATGTATCTATGAAAACTTGGCCTATCCAAAGGACAAGGTTTTAATTTTTGTAAACAGCACAATATATAAATCAAAGTTTTTATTTAAAAATGTACCTATTGCTTACATGTATCTGATAATTTTAGAACTATTTTTGTAAAGACTAACTTTTCTCCACTGAATTACATTTGGAAATTGGTAGAATATCAGTTGTGTATATTTTTTGAAGGTCAATTTCTGTGCACTTTTTTCTCTTCCATTGATTTTTCTCTCACGCAAATTTCACACTCTGTTGGTTACTTTAGCTTTATAATAAATCTAGAAATTAGGCTGTCTTAGTCCTTTAACAGTGTTCTTTTACAAAGTTAGTTCTTCCTAGGTTCTTTGCATTTCTGTAGAAATTTTAAAGTCAGTTTGTCAATGTCAAAAAGAAAAAGTCCTTTGAGAATTTGATTAGGATTCTGTTGAATCTATAGATCAATTTGAGGATAATTGGCATGTTAACAATAGGAAATCTTCTGACCACTGAGAAACGTACATCTTTATATTTGTTTATGTGATTTTTCATTTTCTCAGGAATATTGTGTATTTTTTAGTGTATGTGCCTTTCACATCTTTTTCTCTCCGGATTTTTCCTAAATATTGTTTTTCATACTATTATGTGTAGTATTTTTTTAGCTGCAATTTCCAACTTTTTGTTGTTAGCATACATAAATATTGATGTTTGTATATCCATTGGTGTCATACAACCTTGGAAAACTCACTCATAATGTTCAGAAGAATTTTTGTATATTTAATTGAACTTTCTGTATATATGATAGTGTTATCTGTAAATACAGTTTCCCTTCTTCCTTTCCAATCTGAATATCGTTATACCCCCACCAGTCCAGTTGCAATCCTTCATTTTCCTTTAAATAATATCAGTTAAATTTTTATTGCTCTTATAGTGCTTAAAACAACACTATGAAAAGCATTTTTATAAAAAATTTTAATTATAGACAAATTCAGCCTGCATTATTCCTTAAGCATATCATTTTCTTATCACATAATAATTTTTTTCTGTACATTCTTACTCATTTTTAAAAAGAAGTTTTCTTACTTCCCTTGTTAGGTGCAGCTGAACAATGTTTTCTACCATTACAAGCAGGTATACCATAGTTCCTCCTTGTAAATGAGGTATGATCAATGCCTCTCTTTCCTTTGGCTCCTCCTCTGTAAAACAGACACAGTGTATATTTCTCTTGGGTTTCTCATTAAATCAAAGAACTGGATTATGTGTAAATCAAGATAATCTATATAACATGACTTTTGTATAGTATCTGGAACAGAATAAACATCCTGTAAAATATTGTTAATTTATATAGTATTACTACAGTTTGAAAATAAAAATATTCTACATTTGATGTCTATATAAAGGAGAAGCAATATCATACATTTAAATATCACAAATATTTTCATTTGTTGATTATAAGAATCGATGTTAAAGTCTCAGGATATTTAGTAGATTTCATAATGTGAGGGTGGTAAGACCAAATTTGATATGGATTTATTTTTAACTTTCTTACTTAGAAAAATACCATGGACTGTATGTTACATTCAAGAGCCAAAGCTTCAACAATTCTCTATAACAATATCTAACTAGCAAGCTCACATGAGTACTCACTTATCTAAAATGCATGAGAGTTTGAAAAAAATATTCTGTATTCTAAATAATCCCCCCCCCCAAAAAAAAAAAACACACACACACATATTGAATCCCCTAAAGTTCAATTGGGCCTATATAAAATTTTTCATGTGACTGTTCATTAAAACAGTTTTTGTTCCTTAAAGCCACTTCATTTTAATCACTTTTCACAGTAGAATATTATACAAAGGACTCACATCTAGAATACATAAATAATTCTTAAAACTTAACAATAAGAAAACAAAGAACACGAAACAAAAAATGTATAATACACAGTAGTTTAACATGTATAGAGATATATACTATACATGCTTATATTTTATAGCTCTGTCTCTGCTGAGAAACTAGAAAAAATTGACACCCAAGTAACAGTAAGTACTTCCAGTGCCCAAATCTTGGTTTCTAAATACCATTGTCTAAAATAACAAAAGCAAAACAAAACAGAGATATCCTTGGAGAAATGAGTAATTCTAGGCCTGGGGCAGTGAAAACACAAGATGAACCTGGAGTATTATGTAATGCCAGAAAATACAGAAGTGCTCAGAAAACAAAAGATTAGAAGCAGATCAGGAACCAGACCAAAAGAGCACTTAATGGCCAAAGTTAAAACAATTTAGGCAACAAAATGCATTAAAATTTAAACATTATAACACAATATAAAATAAAATATCCGTGAGTCCATACTGATATAAATAATTTTACAAATAAATAAATGAGGGAAAAGGTACAAATATTTTTACAAAGAATTTCAGAAAATGTACATGGATACTCCTCCCTTCAGGAGGTGGAAATTAATTGCCTTCCCCAGGGTGTGGGCTGGATTCTAAAAAATAGAATATGGAATGGGAAAAAAATAGCGACCTTTTAGTGGAGAAGCCTGGCAATTCTCTCTCCTTAACCAAGTGATGAATGTTAATGTCAGCAGTGAGAAGTCACGTTGGTATCATGCACTACTCTGATAGGATGTGATGAGAAAGACACTTCACCTCTGTAGTATTCTTCCCTAAATTCCAGAATCCTAGTCTACTGAGGAGAAAACATCTAACAAACCCAAGTCCAGGGACATCTTACAAAATTCTCAAGTATTCCTCAAAACCATAAAGGGAAAACAAGTAAAGACTGAGAACTGATCATAGACTTTAGATTAAAGAGACATGACAACTAAATTCAATGTGGTAGGCTGACTTGGACCCTGGCACTAAAAAAGGACATGAGCATAAAAAATCTACAAATCTGAATTAAGTCTGAAGTTTAATTAACAGTAATATGTTAATGTTAATTTTTTAGTTTAAATGCATGTACATTGTAAGATATTAATTTTAGGGGAAGCTGAGTGAAATGTGCATGAAAATGCTGTGTACAGCCTTTGCAAATGTTTCATAAATCTGAGATTATTCTAAAATAAAAGGTTTCCATTTTAAACTATAGATTACATCATGATGAATTATCAACAAATCACTATTAATCATACAAGAGAGAAAGCTGTAGCTTTTTAAAAATGCATACTTGTTGCCCCCCACATATACAGTAAATCATAATTTTTTTCTAAGTGGAGTCAGTAATCTACATTTTACATGGATTTTAAATTATACACACCAATATGTAAGAATTACTTTTCTAAAGCCCTGTGCCTTTTATAGGCCCCAAAGACTTTCAAAGAGATTAAAAACCACAGTAGTAATTATATTATCCGAAGTAACCAAATTTGGGGAAAATTAAATTTCTACATATACTAGATGTAGGCTGAGAGCAAAATAATTCACTTAGGTAACATGTACATACCTGGTGGGCCCACAGAATAATGAAGTCATGATAGAAGAGTGAAGAAGGTACAAAGTTTGGTGACTGGCAGTGAAAAAACAAACAAAAAAACTAGGAGTGAAAACAACTTACTTGTACAAACTGCCCTTCTTGGGTTAAAGAAAACTGACATCATTATAGAGTGCAGAGAAATTACAACTGGCCTTTTCAGTCAAGAAGCACCAACTGCCTTAGTATGAAGTGTTACTCCAGAAATGAATAGTGTAGCTGACAAGCAAAACCAACACCAAGAGGCTAATAAATGTTCAAGCAAGTCAAAATGCTCTGAGTGGAGCAGCATGTAATGAATAAGCAAACAAGAGAATGAGAACGAACAATGAAAATCAATGTGATGAAGTGCGTTGGTTTAATGGAGCCTAAGTATTCCCAGTTCTGATATCTTTGTGTGCCTCTGACTGCTTTTAGTTACCTACAACCTTTATTGCAAACTTAACTCAGGACACCGTTTTCATGCTCCAGCAGACTCAAGTTATCTGCAACCTTGCTGTCTCTTCTACCCGCATGCAGCACCTGCCAGCCTTTCTCAGATACCCAATCTTGTTCACTCTGATCCAACCCTCTTTGGAATTCTTTTGCTTTTATTAGCTCTTGCTAAGTTTACTTTCTGTGACAGTTAATTTTCTGTGTCAACATAGCTAGGCTACAGTGCCCAAATAGTTGGTCAAACAGTCTAGATGTTGCTGTGAAGGCATTTTTTGGATGTGATTTAACACTTTATATAGTAGACTTTGAGTAAATCAGATTTACCCTCCATAGGATGGATGAGAATCATCCAATCAGTTGAAGGCTTTCAGGAAAAAGACAAAATTCTCCCAAGAAGATGGAATTGTCCCTCCAGACTGAAACACAGGAATCTGTTTGAGTTTCCAGCCATCAAAATCAGGACTGCAACATCAATTTTGCCCGAATTTCTAACCCACAACCAGCTCTACAGACTTCGGATTTTCAACCCCCGCAGTCGCATAAATGAATTCCTTTAAATTTCTCTCTCTCTATATATATATATATGAGACATATATATGTATATATATGAGACATATATATGTATATATATGTCCTATTATTTCTATAGTTTATATATTCAACTATTT